TATTGAACAGCATTGGCAGTGACTGGAAACGGAGTGGGAGCAGCAGCAGCAGCAGTAGCAAGAAGCTTAGCTTCTCGATTACGTAAACGTTCATGGACATTGGTGATGGACGGTGAAACATCTCTTGCTTCAATTTGATCAATAACGGGTTTGTAATCCTCAGGAAGACCACCAAGGATCACTTCAAGTTGATCTTCATGCTCCATGGGTTTTCCTAGAGCAGCAAGTTCATCAAGACTAATGGTAATGCCTCGGACGTATTCATCAATGGTTTTGGTTCCTTTTGTCCAAAGCTTGAGTTGACCTTTGATTTGTTGGATGTGACTGCGGCTCGGGTTTGCGAAGATGGAAGCAAGTGTTTCCCAGATTTCGGCTGCTGTGGTGGCACGAGATACAAGCGGTTGAACCGGAGGAGTGATCGCTCCTAGAAGAGCACTGAACAAGAGGCGATCCTGTCTCTTCCAAATGGAGAAATCAGGATTTGGAGAAGTGACATTGTTGTTTGTGACAGTGGCAGGAGGAGCTGCAATGGAGCCATCGAGATAGCCAGCGAGTTCAAAACCATCGATCAACGCATGGATCTGCAGACTCCACATCAAGTAGTTGATGTCATTAAGCTTTGTAACATTGGACGTATTCACGTTGAAGAGTGCAGCAGATCACTTCACCATTGGAGGGAGAGTTTGTGCCTGAAGTTGTCATGGAAGCGGCGTAGTGAGAAGAGCAAAAGAAAATTTTAGGTTTTAGAGATCTTAATGCTCTGATACCATATAGGTTCTGAATGTTTCTTAATATTAACAAATGACCAATTACAAGAATATATAGTACAGAGGAGACATAGGGTAAAAAGTATTTACAAGATAATTCCTATATTCTATTTACTTAACCATATCCTTCTATAATCCAAGCCTTAACAAAGGCATAGCAGAATATTGAATTTTAACTTGATGCCCCAGCTACAACATCATATCTTTTAATCGGGAAAACATTAATTAGTGTACAGGCTTTAAAGCTGATCTTAGCAGAGCTTGAAGTATTCTCTATAACAGAATACTGAAACTTGTTTGTCCCAGCTCCAGCAAAATATCTTTTATTCGGACATACATCATTGTACAAGCCTTAAAGGCTGATCTTACCAGAGATTGAAGTATTCTCTATGGTATAATGCTGTCCCAGCTCCGGCAAGACATCTTTCAATCAAACATACATCATTGTACCTTTAACTATACATCTTTCAATCAAAACTATACTTTATTTTTAAAAAGCCGGGAACTATACTTTACTTTTAAAAAAAGGAAAACTATACTTTATTGTGTATATATGTGATGAAATTCAAATATTAAAAGGGAAAAGTCTTTTAGCAATTAAAGTCTAAAACCAGTCCTAAAAATTCTTCATTAATTTCTCTAACAGCTTTCTATACTACTTCCCCGAGAGACACTCTTGATCAATAAAATTCAAGCCGATGAACCTTTTCAAGTCCTCAAATTTCTCTCACGGAACCACTGAAATAAGTGCTCCAAACGTTAGACACTGTAGGCGCTGAGTCTAGTTAGGGGGGAAGAAAGATTTTGGAGACAAGTTCCAAGGTTTCAATTTGATCTTGACTTCTTTGGGGTTCGCCGAGATAAATAAGCATTTAGGGTTTTAGGTTTCTTCACTGCAATGGCCAGAAGACATGGATGGCAACTTCCAGCTCACACATTTCAGGTTATCAAAGTTACTCTATAAAGGGTTTTTTTCCCCTTACATTCTTCACTGAGTAATTTGATTGGGTTCTGATTTTTTTTTATTTTTTTCACTTTGGTTTGAACGATTTGTGCAATTTCCTGTCGTAATCTGCAATTGTGACAAGTTTGTTCCTTTTTCTAATCCTTTTTTGATAATGACATAAAAATGTTTTGTTGGTATCTGGGAGTTGTTACTTTGTTGTGATTTTGTTCACATCGCTTTCAGAAATCTGTTTTTTGTTTTCTATCTGCTTTCATGTGTTTTGTGGATATTTGTATATAGTTCATGTGAATTTTATGTTCCATTGCATTTGAATTTGGATGTGGTTTCTCTGTGATGATTAGTGTATCTTACATGGTCTGTTGCTGTTGTAGGTTGTTGCTATCACTGTATTTTTCTTGCTGACTGTCGCTTACTATGCCTTCTTTGCTCCGTTTCTTGGGAACGAACTCTATGAATATATTGCCATTGGTGTTTACTCTTTCCTGGTAAGAACTAAGACCAATATTGTTATACAAAGCTCTCAAATGCATAAAAAATTGCTTAATATATATCTCTTTTGCCTGATAAAAATACAGGCGTTTTTGGTTTTAGTTCTGTATATCCGTTGCACTGGTATAGATCCTGCAGATCCTGGGATCTTTGTAAGGGCTGATAACACTCCAACTCATAAGTCACAGAATAGTAACTATGTTCCTGGTACGTGCTCTACCGATGATGCTGTGTATAGGGCTTGCATAATTCAGATATTTCTTTCTTATAAAGATGTCTCTGTTGCAGATAATGCCTCAGCCATTGATGGTGGGCCATATATTAGACACGGCTCAGGTTGCTGTAATGCAATAGGAAGATTCATTTGTGGTTGTATAATAATACAAGATTGCCGCAGAGATACCCAAAACGAGGAATCTAACGAACCAGAAGAAGCTCTGTTCTGCTCATTGTGCAATGCTGAGGTATAGTAGTATATTTACTTTCTGGTTAGAAGTTTTTCATTGCGTCTTCTACAGTAATAGCACATTCTATTTGTCGAAGGTACGTATGTTTAGCAAGCACTGCCGAAGTTGTGGCAAATGTGTCGATGGGTTTGATCACCATTGCCGGGTATGCAATTTAAAACTGTAAATTTTTTCGTTGGGTTTCTGTCTTAGCCAATTCCTACTTATATGTTAAGCTTCTTTTGCCTTAGTGGCTGAATAACTGTGTGGGGCAGAAAAACTACATCAGCTTTGTGTGTCTTATGGCGGCAAGCTTTTTATGGGTATGTTTTCAACGAAGTTTTTTATTAAGGGTTGATTCTGCCTATGTTTTATCTCATCGAGCAATATTTAACCCGTCCATATGATATGAACTTGCAAAAATGGCGACAGCTTGTAGCTGAATTTGGAGTTGGTGTTGCTGTTTTTGTTCGATGTTTTGTGGACCAAATTGCAATGGAACATCTTATAACTGAAAAGCTTGGGCTTGGGTTCACCCGTCCTCCATTTGCTGCTGTTGTGGTAAATATTCTCAAAGGCAATACTGGTTTATTCTGTATTTTATAAATTCTTAGTTTCCAACTTGAGCTTGGTTTCTCATTCTGCAGGTTGTTTGTACAACTCTCTCGTTACTGGCTTTGATACCTCTTGGGGAGCTTTTCTTTTTCCATATGATTTTGATCCGAAAGGTTTTGTATATATTTTTTCTTGCACCATGGTTCTGAATTTCTACTCTCCACTGAAAAATACATAACGATGTTTTGAAGCTGAGCTTTGACGTCACTTTCGTGGGTGCAGGGAATCACAACATATGAATATGTTGTTGCCCTGAGAGCGCAAACTGAACCACTTGGACCATCTGTAGATGAGCTAGACCAAACGAGCCAGCCTCCTTCACCTACAAGCTCAGCTGTAACAGCCGCGAGTGGTAGGAGCTCTCTCGGATTGAGCATTCAATACCACGCTGCCTCCTTGTGTACACCTCCAAACATATTCATGGATCAAGAGGTAAAAACAAAGTCTAATATATTTTTCACATCCTTCACTTCTGTAATTCTTAATCCTTTTTCTCCAGGACGATGTTATCCAGCATCTGGAGCCTGGACCTGTACGATCCACCATAGATCCTGACACACTTTCGCAGAAGAAGCTACCTCAGCGTCAACAAGTAAGGATCAATCCATGGAAGCTGGCGAAACTTGACTCAAAAGAAGCATCTAAAGCAGCTGCAAAAGCGCGTGCATGTTCATCAGTGCTTGTTCCAGTAAGTTCACGGCAAAACCCTTACAAAACCAGCAGCAATGTTAGCGGGAGAAGCAGCGCCGCAAGTTCCCATCACACTAAAAAAGGCAAAGCTGATTCAGAGTCTTGTAGCCTTAGTAGTCCAGGTTTGACGAGAGATCACTTCAACCCAATGTACATGTCATCACCAGCTAACGAGTCACCATTAAATGAGGAAGAAAGCAGAAATGCTGTTGTTGCAGCTAGAAGAAACTTGCCCTCAGGCGATGAGAGTTCAGTAGTTTGGGATCCTGAAGCTGGCCGGTTTGTATCGTCGTCTCGGATTCCCGGAACAGATTGTGGAGGTCATCTTGGTAATGACCGTCTCAACAACATAACATCTACTGGGAGTGATGGTAGCAGAAGGGCTAGAGGAAACCCTTTGACTGGTTATTTCCAACAGGTTAGATCACAGAGAGGAGACCAGCTTCCAGTGTTTATGCCTACTGATTCTGAGCTACACAGACATTTATCCACTAGATTCCATTAGAAACATTTTGTAGATCGCCAACATCTTTATCTCCATTCAAGTTTTGTTTCTTATTTCTCTTTTTCTTGGTGAGGAGACAGTTATATTCGCTTAATGGTAGGAAACTCCCATCATATAGTGGTCTCACTCTCATATCATCAATCGCTAAGAACTTGCTCCACGACACAGCACTAGGATCTATCTATTAAATAAAATAAATATTTGTTAAAGGTATCCATAACAACTAGGTCGTTGTAGTATAGTGGTAAGTATTCCCGCCTGTCACGCGGGTGACCCGGGTTCGATCCCCGGCAGCGGCGTCTTTTTTTTGGTTCCATAATAATGCTGAATTATTATTTTTTTCCCTAGCAAAAAAATATAATTTCGAAATTTCCCATAAATCCGCCAAGTCGTTCATCTCCCTACATTTTCGATTCAAAACCATTAGAATTACAATGAAACAAAAAAACAGAGCAAAATATTCCAAAACGAAGAAAATAATTTAAAAAATAAAAACAAAAATAAACAAAAATAAAGAAAAAAGAAAAAAACCAAAAAATCGCCAACACCGTCTCCCCGGAACGACGGAGAGATCCCGCCGTTTCTTGGCCGTAAAAGATTTGAAACTGATGCTCATAGAAAGGAAAGAAAAAAAACACCATATAATCAGATTCCGCTTAAGAAAAAATGGCTGGAGGAGGAGGTGGTAGCACTTCTGGAGAAGGCCCTAGAGAGCTGGATCAGACACCGACGTGGGCTGTCTCTACTGTTTGTGGCGTTATCATCTTAATCTCTATCGTTCTAGAGCTCATGATTCACAAAATCGGAGAGGTATGTATAAATCAATCCAACACAAAATTCTCAAATATGTTCATACATTTTCTAACAACATCACTCGTTGATCGTTTTGTAGTTGTTCACGAAAAGAAGGAAGAAGGCTTTGTACGAAGCTCTTCAAAAAATCAAGAACGGTACAAAAATCAAGAAAACCCTCATATTGATTTTGGATATTTTATTTTCCGTGGGTTACAAGTTTATATCTTTTTTTTTGTGTTCCTGATTTTGCAGAGCTTATGGTTTTGGGATTCATTTCTCTGTTACTAACGTTTGGACAAAACTACATAGCAAGCTTGTGTGTGGCTTCGAGATACGGCAATGCGATGTCCTTTTGTGGTCCGTACGATGGTCCAAGTGGTGACTATAAGAAGCCAAAGACTACCGACCACTTACAACGCCGTGTTTTGGCCGATGCTGCTCCAGCTCAGTGCAAGAAGGTTAAGCGAGTTTTCTTTCTTTTTGGATTCCTTAGAGAAAATGGTTTGAAGTTGATGAAAGGCTTGTTTTTGATGTTTTGCAGGGCTATGTGCCGCTTATATCACTCAACGCGTTGCATCAAGTGCATATATTCATCTTCTTCTTGGCTGTGTTTCATGTCATTTATAGTGCTATTACCATGATGCTTGGAAGAGCAAAGGTAATGTCTGGTTTAATTTATTAAGGCTGTGACAATGTATACATGTGCTTGTGAGATTTTGATTGTTGGATCGGAGTCATTATTATAATGCAGATTCGTGGATGGAAAGTTTGGGAGGAAGAAGTCGTAAATGATCATGAAATGATGAATGGTTAGATGACTTTGCATATAGTCTCAGATTTTCAATCACATTCAAAAACAGAATATTAATTTCTTTTCATATTATATATTTTCATGTAATTTTAAAGACCCTTCAAGATTTAGACTCACACATGAGACATCATTTGTTAGAGAGCATGTCAATCCTTGGGCCAAAAACAGATTCTCCTTCTACGTTGTAAGACTCTGTTCGTGTGCGCTGTTAATAATTCCATCTCTGGTGTCTAAATGCTATCTAAAGCTGAGAATTTCCTTGTCACTCTTTTTTGTAGATGTGTTTCTTTCGTCAGATGCTTAGATCAGTCAGAAAATCTGATTATTTGACGATGCGCCATGGTTTCATAAGTGTAAGTTCCTCTAAATTACACAAAAACAGTATCCATAAAAACCTCTTTAAGAAACTTCTTTATAGACTTGTTTCCAAAATTCTTTGTTACTTTAGGTCCATTTGGCACCTGGGATGAAGTTTAATTTCCAAAAATATATTAAAAGGTCATTGGAAGACGACTTCAAGGTAGTCGTGGGAATAAGGTACCTCTTAACACTTGTTCTTCTTACACTACACTCATTTCTTCATCGACTTCTAATACAACTTTAAAATCACTTCGGTAATGCAGTCCCGAGCTATGGGCCTTTGTGATGCTCTTTCTACTCTTTGATGTTCACGGTTAGTCCTTTTAGATCTTGTGTTATTAATATTCTGCAACACACGAATCTTAATAATCAGAATCTAATTTTTCTAGTATGTATTCCTTTTTTAGGGTGGTATGTTACTGCTGTGATCACCATGATTCCTCCCGTTGTAAGTAACTCAATCTACCTTAAAGCTTTTGCTTTCCATGAAAGAGCAATATAGAGATCAGAAACTGAGTAATCTGTGCTGTTTGAAGTTGACATTAGCGATAGGAACCAAGCTTCAGGCCATCATATCAGACATGGCGTTGGAGATTCAGGAGAGACACGCAGTGATTCAAGGGATGCCACTTGTCAATGTCTCTGACCGGCATTTCTGGTTAAGTCGTCCTGCCTTAGTCCTCCATATCATCCACTTCATTCTCTTCCAGGTACAACTAATCCCTTCTTATAAAATGAAGAGATTGAAAAAAGTATGTAGTCGTCTTTGATCTAATAATGAGCTTACTTGATTGTTGTTCAGAATGCCTTTGAGATTACCTACTTCTTCTGGATATGGGTAAACACATACAACACACATCTCTCTTTTTCCCATCATCTCTGAATACTTCTCTCACTCTGCTTCCACTGTTGCAGTATGAGTTCGGGTTACGGTCCTGTTTTCATCACCATTTCGCGCTCATAATCATACGGGTTGCTCTCGGGTGAGTACTATGTTCATCAACATTTTCCCACTTCCTTTCTGAAATCTCGGTTTCTTGAGCTACAAGAATCTTCTTAGATTTAGTTTTCTTGAGCCACAAGAATCTAATTTTGAGTTCTTGATGCAGAGTGGGAGTACAATTTTTATGCAGTTACATTACACTTCCTCTTTACGCTCTCGTTACTCAGGCATGTCAAAAGTCTTGTACTTCATTCAACTAGAGTTAAAAAGGGTTTCATTGTAATCACTCCAGAGATTTTTACATGTTTTTACAGATGGGATCAACGATGAAGCGATCGGTGTTTGATGAGCAAACGTCAAAGGCGTTAAAGAATTGGCATAAGAATGCAAAGAAAAAGAGTGAGACGTCAGGTCAAATGCAAACTCCAATGTCTAATCTCCGACCTAAAACCGTCGGCGATATCGAGTCTGCTCCGGCCAACATCACGGCTAGTGTTGATGTTAAGGAAGGAGATCAATCTCGTAAACCTGGAGACCTCTTAAGCGGTCCCTAATACAAAACCAAACCGGTGAAGACACTACAACTTTCACATAACCGGCTTACTCAAATCCTCTATACACATTTTTTTTTTCTTCTTTTTATATTATAGGTTTTTCTTAATCAATTGTTTATGTAAGTGTTTGTTGTATGTGTATTAGTTTAATTTTCTTAAACAAAAACACGAGCCATATACATAGCCTATTTATAGGCTCGGGTTTGGTAAATGGGCAATACCGAAATCACAGACCAACTGTTTGGTTCAATTTTATTTCGGTTAAAAATTAGCTATTGTTCAATTGCACCAGTCAGTTTAAAATCTTGAATTTAAAAACTACACCCTAATTTGTCATCTTCACAACATAACCGGTGGTTTCGAGTTTGTCGCCGTCGTCACCATTTCGCAGCCGTTGCTACTTTCTCCTACTAGTCGCCGTCGTAAATTGAGCGAAAACGAAGGAGGTTGAGCTTGCTTTGTTTTTCTTAAAAATATTTGTTTCTGCACACAACGTGTTCGATCAAATGCCTAAGAGATAGCTATCAAATATAAGACGCCACTTATCTCTCAATTTTTGTGTGTCTGTTTCAGTAAATGTGAAGTTCGCGTCTTTAAAATTTACGGGAGAAGCTTAAGCGGGACAAATGAAAAGGTATATTTTTTTTAGCTGTTCTTGAGTACAAAGTAAAAGTACCGTTCTTTCTCTGGTTATGGTTGCTTACTCATAATGCCTGGTTAAAACTCTCTGGTTGATTATCTATCCAAAAATTCCTAGTTTTTCAGTTTTGCCTAGCTGAAATATAAGTACATTGCTAAGTAGTTTGAAGTATCAATCAGAGATAATAGTGTTACGTAATTTGGAGTTCATTTGAACTTGCGCCAGTAACGTTGGAAATCCTATGTTCAGGCTGCCCCAAGAGGTGTTGAAATCAATGATCAAAGCTCCTGCCATGAAGGGTAAATTTTGTTTACTTTCTATAACATTTGTCCTGCATTTTTATTGGAAATCATTTCTGGCCATATCATTTAGAAGTTTCTAGAACTTAATGAGAAAGGCACAGCTTTTCAAGAATGATCAGAATGGTGCTCGCAATGGCAATTTTAAAACTTAGGATATGATTTGATGTAAGAAGAAGCATATGTGGATGTAGGAATAAAATTGACATAGTTTAAGCAAATCATGTCTGAGAATTTGAATCACTATTTTTTATCTTTGTTTTTTCTAAAAATTGCTGAAGTTTCACAAATGAACAAGGATGAATTTCAAAGTAGACAGACTTTATGGGTTTCAGGTGGCTGCATGCTTTAGGGTTAGGCTATATGTGAGTGTTTTGTCTTGCACTCTGGAAGTACTTTGGTTTTTGAAGGCTGTTCCTTGTGTAATTGACAGCAATAAAGAAGAAAATTCAGAAAGATATTTATCGACTTGGAAGTATTAACCATTTCACTGATTTAGACAGAGAGGTACAGAAATGGCTATGTATCTACATATTTCTATGATATTTTATTCTTTTATCACCATTTATATTGAATTTATTTCAAAATAATCAGAGTTCAGCTATTAGACAGAAACCTGGACTGGAAGAACACTCTGGTCTAGAAATATCGAGAACAACGACTCAGTGAGTACTTTTCCTTTCCATTAGATGATCTACTTTGAAACTTTTGTTAGAAGATTATGTTCCCCTATTATTTGATACCTGATGATATGAATATTGCATGGCTTACTCTTCATTGTGTTCTCTGCAGGGACAAACAATGTTCTATATCAATCAAAGAAACAGAACTCATCTCGTTTACTCATACTTCCACGTTATTAAAAGAACTGACTCATCATTCACAGCAAAGGAACCTTGTGGCTGGACGCGCAGTTCATGCACAGATCATCAAAACGGGTACATCAACATGCACCCAACATGCCAACGTCCTTGTCAACTTTTACTCCAAGTGCGGACAATTACCCAAAGCCCACTCCATCTTCAAAGCTATAATCTGCAAGGATGTCGTGTCCTGGAACAGTCTCATCACTGGATATTCTCAGAACGGCGGTATCTCCAGCTCCCACATTGTTATGCAGCTTTTTCGGGAGATGAGAGCGCAAAATATACTACCTAATGCTTATACCCTTGCCGGGATTTTTAAGGCTGAGTCGAGTCTTCAAAGTTGTACAGTTGGGAGGCAGACTCACGCACTTGTGGTCAAAATGTCAAGTTTTGGGGATATCTATGTTGACACTTCCTTGGTGGGCATGTACTGTAAGGCGGGATTAGTCGAAGATGGACTTAAAGTGTTTGCCTTGATGCCTGAAAGAAATACTTATACGTGGTCTACTATGGTTTCTGGTTATGCTACAAGAGGACGTGTTGAAGAGGCAGTTAAAGTCTTCAAATTGTTTCTTAGAGAAAAGGAGGAAGAAAGTGATAGTGACTATGTCTTCACGGCGGTTCTTAGCTCGCTTGCTGAAACCTTATACGTAGGCCTAGGCAGGCAAATCCATTGCATCACATTTAAAAGTGGATTGCTCGGGTTTGTAGCTTTGAGTAATGCGCTTGTTACAATGTATTCAAAGTGCGAGAGCTTGACTGAGGCATGCAAGATGTTTGACTCGTCTGGCGACAGAAATTCGATTACATGGTCTGCAATGGTCACTGGCTATTCTCAGAACGGGGAATCACTTGAAGCAGTAAAGCTTTTCTCGAGAATGTTTTCTGCTGGAATCAAGCCCAGCGAATACACGATTGTTGGGGTTCTTAATGCATGCAGTGACATTTCCTATGTAGAAGTAGGGAAACAACTTCATTCTTTCTTGTTAAAATTGGGATTTGAAAACCATTTATTTGCGACTACAGCTTTGGTTGACATGTATGCGAAAGGTGGTTGTCTAGCAGATGCCAGGAAAGGGTTTGATTGTCTACAAGAGCGTGATGTTGCTCTTTGGACATCAATTATTAGCGGGTACGTTCAAAACGCAGATAACGAAGAGGCTCTCATTCTGTACTGTGAAATGAAGACACAAGGCATTATCCCAAACGAACCAACTATAGCAAGCATTCTTAAAGCTTGCTCCTCTCTAGCTACCTTGGAGCTTGGAAAGCAAGTACATGGCCACACAATCAAGCACGGGTTTGGGCTTGAAGTTCCAATTGGAAGTGCACTTTCTACAATGTACTCAAAGTGCGGGATTTTAGAAGATGGAAACCTCGTCTTTAGGAGAACTCCCAATAAAGATGTTGTGTCTTGGAACGCGATGATCTCAGGCTTGTCCCATAATGGACAAGGAGATGAAGCTTTAGAACTGTTTGAGGAAATGTTAGTAGAAGGAACAGAACCAGACGATGTCACTTTCGTGAACATTATATCAGCGTGTAGCCATAAAGGGTTTGTAGAGAGAGGCTGGTCTTATTTCCATATGATGTCTGATCAGTTCGGGATTAATCCAAAAGTTGACCACTATGCTTGTATGGTTGATCTGCTGAGCCGTGCAGGACAGCTCAAAGAGGCAAAAGAGTTCATCGAATCAGCCAGTATTGATCATGGTTTATGCCTGTGGCGGATACTATTAAGCGCATGTAAGAACCATGGGAATTGTGAGCTAGGAGCTTACGCAGGAGAGAAGCTCATGGCCCTTGGATCTAGAGAATCATCAACGTATGTGCAATTATCAGGCATTTACACGGCTTTAGGGCGGATGAGAGATGTGGAACGGATTTGGAAACTCATGAAGGAGAACGGGGTGAGCAAAGAAGTGGGTTGCAGTTGGATCGAGCTGAAGAATCAGTACCATGTTTTTGTTGTGGGAGATACAATGCATCCGAGGATTGAAGAGACAAAGGATTTAGTTAGTTTGGTTAGTACACAGATGCTTGAAGAAGGATTCGTAACTGTGTTGGATTCTTCTTATGTGGAAGAAGAAGGAACACAATTATGTAATTCTCTCTTGGTATAAATTTTGTTGTATTCTTTTACATTATAGGCTTTTTTTTTAATTTTAGCTGTGAAAATGTATCACAAATAGTTATAATTTTGTTAATCAAATGAGGAAATTACTTAGTCAAAGACTCTCCCTAGTTCTGTGGCTAATTTTGTGCAATTTCTTTGGACAAAATTATTTTACGTCTTCCATAAGTAATTTATCCTCTATTTTTTTCCAAAGATATTAGTCTTGACAAAAGATGGAAAAAGAAACTAATATGTCGAAGAGAGAAGAGAAACAAGAGTTGCCACTAGAAACAAGTCCGTACACAAAGTACGAGGATATAGAAGATTACAAGAAGAACGCTTATGGGACTTCCGGTCACCAAGAGGTTAAGCCTGGCCAAGGCGGCGGCACAACCGACGCCCCGACCCTCTCCGGTAGTGGTGCTCCCTCCGCCCTAGATTCCGCTGACCAACAAGCTAAGAAGTGATACCACTCATTGTTCACTCCCTTTGTGATAATTGATATGTTTTTGTTTTTTTCTCTCCTTTGATCCATGGTTATGATCCAACCTAATTCAATAAATAGATGTTAAGATCTTACAACATTAACACCCTCGTTATATATAGAACGAGAGTTATATGCCAAATTTTGTAAAATTGTTTGGTCAAGATTACTCCCATACGTCAATTCGTGACATATTGTATTAGCACAAGTTGTGGTGACCTACTTTATTAATAGCATTAGAAAATATGTAAATGTACTCAAAAGTCAATTCCTTAACAACTAACAATTAAGAAACATGTAATTAGTTTGTGTGATAGATTTACCATGAAGCTTCAAAATTTTACATTGGAAACTTTACTCTGGATAGATATTCATCCGAATATGAATTTCACTTGAAAGTGACAAATGAAATAAAATCAACAATCATCAAATAGAACATTCAACTACATAATCATATTTGGAACTACCATAGGTTTTGTTGTTAGTCTTAGCTAGACTCTTTAGGAAGCATCAAAACTCAAAAGTTTCTAAATTTTTAATCATTGCCAATTTATACCTTTAATCGCAATTAAAAAAAATTCTAGTAAATGATAATTGCAAACTTAATATGCTTATTCCATCAGCATGAATGAATTATGATGTCCAACAACTAACTTACCTAAACCGGTTTTGGTTAAAGCTCTTACTAAACCGGAAATTAATTACTCGGTAATGTGAACCCAGCCGCAACATTTGTTAAAACCAATAAAACTACAACACGTGGATGGCGGGAATCTGCCGCCGCTACTTTGTTTTTATAATCGGAGGTATCCTCTCGCCATTGGGAAAGACAAAAGGGGATTGCGGTAGTTTGATCCTGACCGTTAAGTTTCTATCTTAGAGATCTAACGGTTAGGTTTTGGTGGTGGTACCACCCGGTCAAATTAATCTTTCGCCGTCGATTGTCGACACGTGTCAGTATGATATGTCCAGTTTGACAGATAGACGATCCAAGAGATTACCTGGAATCGCCGGTGGCCAACCAAATACCAAACGAGACAAAGCTTCTCTCTCTCTCTCTCTCTCTCTCTCTCTCTCTCTCAAAGAAAGCTTTTGGAAATTGTCTTTCGTCAATTCTCTTCTCTTCTTCTTCTTTAAACGCCATAACTTTTTCTGGGGTTTTCGAGAATTTCTTCAAAAGGATCTGACGGTAACGCGAATCATCATTGTTTATCTTTGAAATATCTCACAGCTTTTTTTCTGTAGTTTTGTTACCTTTCTGAATTCTCTACCTGCTTCAAGATTTTCTTGGTTTTTCATCAATTTGTGAGCTGGGTTTTGTTGAAAGTGGCTTCTGGTAAATTCGAAATCGGGTTGTCGTTATATTTCTACTGGATAATCGATTGCTTGATCTGACCTGAGAAAAAGTTTTTTTTTTGAAAAAAAAGACCTTTGAGTAGAGCTGGTTCTATAACAGAGTTGTGTATTTGGAGCTTGGTTTTGTGCTTAATTTGGAGTTGTAGAAGCTTTGGATAGTTGGTGTTGGTGGGTTATTGGATTCCTTCACTTTCTTCATTGGTTGAGTCTGCTGCTACCGATCAAGATCAAGGATTTACTGATTTTTGGTATTTTATCAAAACCTGGAATTGATCTTTTGGAAGGAAGGTTTTTCTAGTTGTTCAGATCTTTGGTGAAGTTTGTTTCTCACCAAGCTTGATCCTTTGTAAGTTGGTCTCTGTTGATCTTAGATCTAGTGGGGATAAAGGAAGTCCTTGGAAAGCAACAGACTTGAAAACGCTATCACGAGAGGGTTTGGTACTGAAGACACTCTTTCTGGATTCCTGATAGTTTTATATGATTCAGAGAAGAATTCAGCGCTGAGTATGGATTTTTCACCTTTGTTAACGGTTCTTGAGGGAGATTTTGATAAGGATAATGCTTCTTCTGCAACAAAAATTGATACTTTAGAGAACTTAGATGACACTAAGCAGCTAAGTAAAGGAAAACCTCCGAGGCACCTCACAAGCACTGCTACTAGGCTGCAGGTTCCAGCCAGTACGGTAATATATTTAACCCACAGTTTCTGTTTTTCTTCTTGTTGCAATGGGATTCGAATGATGTAACTGGTTTTCTGTTTGTGCGCAGGATGTGGATGTTTGTAATTTGGCTATGAAGTCACTTGACGAAAACTCAGATTTTCTGCCTGTATACCGATCAGGAAGTTGTGCTGAGCAAGGGGCAAAACAGTTCATGGAAGATGAACACATTTGCATCGATGATCTTGTTGATCATCTTGGTGCAGCTGTTCAATGCTCTTCTCTTGGAGCTTTCTATGGGGTGAGTCATGGCCCTGATTCTTCGTTTCTAGGGTGTTACTTTTTTAAAAGTCTATAACATTGTTGATTGTGTCCTTTGGCAGGTATTTGATGGCCACGGTGGCACAGATGCAGCACACTTTGTTAGAAAGAACATACTGAGATTCATTGTAGAGGACTCCTCTTTCCCACTATGCGTAAAGAAGGCAATTAAGAGTGCTTTCCTAAAAGCTGATTATGAATTTGCAGATGATTCTTCTCTTGACATCTCTTCTGGGACCACTGCGCTTACAGCTTTTATTTTTGGAAGGTAAGGACATTTAACTTCGTATTTGTAAACTTGGGAAGTTATATATGTTATCACCTGTAGAATCATCAACACTTATCAGGTTGCCTGTGTGTATAAGATAAAGAATAAGGTGGTTTGTGTATTGCTTACTTTCACCCTTAGTGTATAGACTTATGTAACGGGGTGTTTCACCACCTTTCTTTGAAATTTAGATTTGATTTTGAATAGAATTGCTACTTTAATTCTTTACAGGAGGTTGATAATTGCAAATGCTGGTGATTGCCGAGCAGTACTGGGGAGAAGAGGCAGAGCAATTGAGTTGTCCAAAGATCACAAACCAAACTGCACCGCCGAGAAAGTAAGAATAGAAAAGTTAGGTGGAGTTGTGTATGATGGTTACCTCAACGGGCAACTATCAGTTGCACGTGCCATTGGAGACTGGCACATGAAAGGTCCCAAAGGCTCTGCTTGTCCTCTAAGCCCAGAGCCAGAGTTACAAGAGACGGATCTAAGTGAAGACGATGAGTTCTTGATAATGGGATGTGACGGTCTGTGGGATGTGATGAGCAGTCAGTGTGCTGTGACAATCGCTAGGAAGGAACTGATGATTCATAATGATCCTGAGAGATGCTCTAGAGAGCTTGTGAGGGAGGCCCTTAAACGGAATACATGTGACAACTTAACAGTGATTGTTGTGTGCTTCTCTCCGGATCCTCCACAGAGGATAGAGATCCGAATGCAGTCACGGGTGAGGCGGAGCATATCTGCGGAAGGGTTAAACCTACTCAAAGGCGTGCTCGATGGCTATCCGTGAGTATGGTTGTGTCCGATGTTACTTTGTGAGACTATTGCCAAGTTAGAGAGTGTTACAGGTTGACATGTTTGTTGTGTTCCGAGTATGGTGTTACCAATATTAGTATTGAACATCCATTGAGATTTTAGATGGATGCATATCCCATTGTAAATAATTTTTAACTTGTTCCACCAGATTCTTCTTTAAAAATATATTAGAATTTCATATTGGCTTGTAGCAATAAATTAGAACCCTTGTCCACAGGACAAACATGAGATCTGAGCTTGATGTGCTACGAGGAAGAGGGACACAATTTGTGACGCAGACACAATTATAACTTCTTTAACACGGTTTGCAAATTTTATTGTCAAGACAAATACATATATAACTAGATTTCTTTACTTATCATCAGCCGCAAACACAATGAGTAAAATCAGGATGGTTAACAGTGTTTTGTCCAAGTAGTTGTGCTTGTGCACACATAAGTTTACAAGCAGAGAAAGACTGATTCATTGTACAAACGCAACCGCCATATAAGCAGGCAGGAGGTATTGCACATGGCATTGCGTGTTTGCAATCTGAGTCTTTGTGACATCTTTTGCTTTCTGTCGTCCTCATACCTTCATATATATATCATCCAAAAGGAAAACAAAATATTGCAAGTCTTTAAATTTTAGATAAATCTTTTCTGCTTATAAATCGAACAAAGAAAACTGATGATATGGAAAAAAACTAAAATCAGACCAAACCATTAGATTCTTTTTTGTTCTTATGTTTATAAAAATCTGAACGGTTAAGATCAATCCGACATTTCTTGTGAAAAAAAAAAATATATCCTATAAACTAAAATCAGACCAAACTAGGCCTGTGCATAAAATCCGAATCCGAAAATCCGAACCGAACCGAACCGAAAAAATTGGATTAAAACCGAACCGATATTGGAAAAATAACCGATCGGTTGTTAGCTTTCATTATTTTTGGATATCGGATTAAACCCGATCCGAACCGATATCCAATAGATATCCATATATAACCGAACTTATAATATATACTTTAATATCTTTATGATATATACGTTTACCGCATATCGGATTAAAAGTTATTTTTAATTGATTTTAGGATGTTACTGAATTTTGCTACTTTTTCATTAGGAATTTATGGTTTAGTTTGGTTTATTTAAAGCTCTTATGCATCGACACAGTTTTATGCTTCACTTTTATATATTGGTATGGTATTATGTTAGTTGGTTCTTTGAACTTGTCATTTACCTCATTTCTATTTTTTATATATACTTGGATAGCATGGATTATTTGAGAATAATTGGATTTAAAAATATCCGAATAAAACCGAATCCAATAAATTTTGGTTAAAATTTAATTATCACAATTATATCCAAACCGAACCGAAATCCGAAATATCCAAACCAAAACCGAACCGAATTTTATAAATATCCGAATGGATATTAGAATCAATATCCAAAAAATCCGAAAACCGAAAAATCCGAACCGAACCCGATCCGATATCCGAACGCCCAGGCCTAGACCAAACCATTAGATTCTTTTTTGTTCTTATGTTTATAAAAATCTATTCAAGAAACATGAAATCACATTATACTAGGTTAGGATCCGTCCAATGTGCAGATTTTAAAATTCTTTAATGAAATGAAAATATATTTTTTACTGTAAGTAGAAACTATTTTAGAAAGTAAGTATAAAAATTATATTTTTGTTACCAAATTATATTAGTCTTATTATTTCCAATACAAAAACGTGGTTTCAAAAATTCATCCAAAATATTAATTCACAACTTATTTACAAAATATTTTAGATGCAAAAAATCCATCAAATCGTCGTCTTACTAATGTCCATGAACAATTTACCATACTTTATATAATAAGATGTTATAGTCATCACAAACATCAACATACATACATGTGTGTGTTTCATTGTAAATAGTTAAATACATATTGATATTGTGTATGAGCGAAGAACTTACATAAGGCAGATAGAAGAAACATAACCAAGAAGAAGAAGCTTGTTTTGTTTGAGTTCATCTCCTATACTTTGCTTGAATTATAGTCAATTCTAATTTGTTTGCGAAAATTAGGCAAACTAAGGTTCGGGTGTTATATATCTGATTTGAAATTTCAGTTCATATAGGAGGGGTTATATATATATATATATATATATTGAACATAAGAATATATTAAAATCTAATTGAATTGGATTAGAGATATTAAAATCTAATTGAATTGAATTCAAGAGAATAGTTAGAGATTTAAAGGAACGTAAAAGCTAAAAGTCTAAAGATTTGGATTTTAGTGGGACTTTTAATGAATTTTAACGAGATTCTGATGAGTTTTAAGGGATTTGATGCAAGTTTTTTTTTTTTTGATGAATTGGTAAGATTTGATTATTAATTCTATAGGTTTTTATGTGATAAATATCAAAGTGAATAGTATTAATGAGTGAAAAGAAAAATATGTCACTGTGAAATGAAAAAGATATTCTAGTAGACTAGTATTGTATTTGCAATTTGTATTCTGATTCCAAATCAAAGAAACAAGTGAACCTTTGATTAACTCATTTAACAATATATGATAAATACAGTTTAATGGACTTGTTTAATATACATATTAACTTTCTTACAAATGCTACTTATCATTATGGATTACAATTTTCACAAATATTTCTTTCTCCCGAATTTTGATTACCACCAACTTTCATTGTTTGCAACCCATTCAAAAATATGTATATACTTTTAAAATTTATATCTTATATTTCGGGAACTCTTACACAATTATGTTTAACTCTCAATGTATTTGAATAATATTTTTAAAAAGATGTACTACTTACATTACATTACATATATATGAGTCTATCCGTTGTGGTCGTCTTGACCGATCAGGACGTTGTCCAAGACATCTTTCTTTTTCTTCCAAGACTTCTTCATCCTTTCTTGCATGTATAGGGTGCTAAAGCCTTATTTTGTTATCCATAAGGCCTGAATCCTAGCTATATGCACTTAGCACTCCATAGACTGTTTAAAGACTACCGAAAGGAAGTCTTAAAGAGATTACATCAACTGTTGATGCGTTTGATATAACTTGGACGGAGAGGCATATAATGCTATCTTCTTCGTTTGTGGATACTAGTATTCTTCACGTTTTCATCATCCTCCAAATTTTGTCTATGCCCTCGATCATCCAAAGATGACGACGAAGAAGAAGACATAGTCGATAAGGTGGCACCATAGTCGCTATTTCCAGATTGGAATTGACCGTATTGGTCAAGAAGTATGTCAGGAGCAATAGCTGGAGGTGGTGTCCCGATAATGCTATCATGCGATGTAGCAGTTGATGGATAGAATTGAGTAGAGTTGACACGAATGCTCTCGGGGAAGTTAAGCTTTGCCTTGTGACCTCTAAACTCAAATGCAGCTCTATCATAAGCTAAGGCGGCTTCTTCTGCAGTGTCGAACGTCCCAAGCCAAACACGAGCTGCCTTGTTCGGGTCACGAATCTCGGCAGCCCATTTCCCCCATGGTCTTTGCCTCACACCTCTATAGTTTCGTTGTCTCGAGTTACTTTTTTCTGTATATAAATTATGAAAATTTTAAGTTCAACAATCTTGTGGGAGGGAAACAGTGAACTAAAGATGGTAGACGTGCATGTAACATATTACATATATATGAATGTAGCATAAAGTATATATTGGTGTAAAGACATTTCTTAAAGATTATTAATTTTGTGTTTTGAATCACATATGATCATCCTACATCTCCTTCTTCTTTATCCCCTTGTCTACATGTACTGGTAAAATATATATCTATATTAAGCCAAACCAACATAAAATATTTTCTCTTAATTGGTGATTAACTATGTACTTAACTTAAGTAGCTCTTACGATATTATCATACAAAATAAGTTCGATCATTTTTGAAAGAACTTAATTTTACCCTTTGTTTAAGTCTAAAACTGTTTGGCGCTATATCCACAGAAGTATACAGTATCTCAACCAAGACATGACCAATATTGAACCATGAAAATATTCCTAATCATGAATTGAGTAATACTAATACATTGTGGCCATAAATTATACTATATCTCCATATGATTAAGGCCATGATGCAGCCATTGAGGGACTACCAATGTCAAAAGTACAAGATTGAATCATTCCTATATACGTTTGTACCAATCACACAAATTATAAGTATAGTAATTAGAATAATAGGAAAATGGATCGGATGATGAGATTATACCTTGAAGAGTAAGAGACGAAGATTGATCCGAAGATGGTGGGATGGGTTGATCAGTGAGTTCAGAGACAAAAGCAGACACATCAGACTCCGACAAAGTCGAGCAACGAGACAACTCCTCATCTTTATCTTCTCTATTTCCGGCCATTGATTCTGGTGAAAGAGGTCTCTTCCCACTATGCATTATCCGATGACGATATCAACTATGATTATTTTTTTTTTTTAATTAGTTTGGAAGTCAAAGATGGGTTTGGGTACAAGCCAAAGCTACAGCAAAGATGTCTATTCTCTACATCTATGTAATATATAGAGGACACACGCATGTATTTGTTGACCAATAATATTTATAGCTAGTGTGAGACGAGTTTCTCTAACTTCTCTAGGTCATTTTGGTCAATACTTTACACACACTTTTTTTTTTTTCTTAAAGAAAATTACTTATGTGATGATCATCTTTGTTTATCTATCTTAACAAACGTTAGTACGTTACAACTTACAATGTGTATCGCCTTGATCGACCAACTACGCAGTTTTATGAATTGTTGCATTGATGAGCCACACAATTTCATTGATGCTTACAATTTGATTTCACTTTACACATTTTACATATATGTTAGACTTGCATTTATGATAGGAAATTAGAGAAATAGAATCCTATTTTAATTTATACTACAATATATATACACAAAATTGGGTTTTTTCATTAATCCCTTCATTACAAGTTTTTGTCTATATCATGTTATTTTTTCCCAAAAATCGCTTGTGTAATCTATTGCAGTTAAGTGTATTTTTTTAAATAAAAAATATTTACGTAATTTATAAAAGTGCGTGGTTAATTAGCATGAGAATTTGCTATATTTTCTTTTTGGGATAAATTATATTCGCTAAATTTGATCATTAAAAAAGAAAAAAAAAAGCTGGAACGGAATATGCAGTGAATCTCTTTTAATATGTGGTTTCTCTGATTGTGGATTCTAATGTAATATTATTTCTATTATAAGCAGTTTGATACAATTGGTGTTATTTAAAAATAAATGATTTGAGGTATTTTTTTTTAATTACATGCATGATGTCAATGATTTATTTTTCAATGATATAAACTTGTGGTTGAAGGAAAAAGCATAATATATAACAACCAAACATTAACCTGAAACGTATAAAATAACATGCAAAAGAAATTAAATAAAACAGTTGACCCAATCTTGAATCTGGAATCAGAAAGAGAGGTGTGAGATAAGATATTGATATAAAGACGAGATGACGTATGGGCTTACATAAAAGTGTTGAATATTTTATAGTCAGAGCAAACTTTGGCACGAACAAATCAAACACCAATAGCTTACGACCATGCCCGTAGTCTATTAATGATTGCCACAAAAGTATTACGTTTTTTTATTTAGCCAACTTTGACCTTTTTATTTATTTTTTATACCTCCTACTATGTATATTTCTTTTCTTTTTAAAAAAATATTCTTTAAATACTTATATGATTATTTAGCATATATGCGATCTATTCAGTCAGATGAAAACATTGTTGTAAAATAAGTCACACTAAAAAAAAGAAAAAAAAAGTTACGTGTAGCTCTTTAATTTTGAGATGTGAAACCATGGATTTGAGGCAGAAAGCTATAATATGATCGGAACTCTAGTCTCTATATATGCTCATGCTGGTCAGTGTTCATCTCTCTTGCAAAGATCTTTCCCACATTTTGGTTCACGAACTCCACTTAGAATTTTTTTCCCATATTATCAATGGTCTCTTAAGCAAATTTTACCTTAAGATTTGTTAACAGTGTCTCTTATATAAGAGTCTTTTCTTAATAAATCTTAAGTTAAGATTTGCTTAAAAGACCATTGATAATAGTGGTTTTATTAAAGTTGAAAAAGCTCCCTCTTCTTTGTTTTTGTACTTAAACCAAGAAAAATAAACAAAATAACTTATTGAACACATATCTCTGCATGTTTAAAAAGACATCAAGCTGTATTGGGTTATGTCGTGGGCTTTAGCTATGTAGCCCATCTTTAGTATATGTATGGCGTCAAAAGTTCTGATTTGATAAGACTAAAAGACCCAACCATATATGTAAATCTAGAACGCAAATAAAAAGGATTGGCACTCATCTCAGTAGAAAAGGAAATCCAAACCCTAATAAGAAATGGAAAATAACAGCTTCCTAGTTCCCACGCAGAATTGAATATACATTTTTTTTCTTTTTTTGTCAACAATTGAAAATACATTTATATTAATTAAAAATGTTATTTTTCCATAAATATGCGAAATTAAAATATGATATTATTTTCTTTTTCTCGATAACAAATGAAATTCCTTTTTCAAATAGGAAAATATCTGGAAAAAAATGTTAAGGCAAAGGTGGCTAATATTATTATATATATCATCATCATCTACATTATATTGGTCCAGTCTCAAATTGAGTCGAACATTATTAGAAAACTCTCGACGAGCGTCTTAATTCATACTTCTGGTGGAGAGAATCGAAAGAGAATGATGCAAAATCAGCAACAAGACCTTCTTCAATCCTCGGCAGTGAAGATGCCTCCTCCCTCTGCTGCATCGCATACTCAATACCTGCTCTATCGCAAGTCATCGGAAAACCCTAACAAGACTTTGGTCTCCACGACTCTCTGTTTATCGTCTTGTGAAAACCCTAGGAAGAGGAACCTTGATGATCCAGCCAAGGTTTCTTGCACACCAAGCGACGACAAATTAACCAAAGAAGAAAGAAACATTAAGCGAATGAGGAACCTCTCGAATGAAGAAAAGGAAAAGGAAGAAAGATTTGGTGTTTCGACAGAGCTAGCTCTCTTCAAAGATCCGTGGATCATCACGAAGGTACTAACCACCAGCGATCTTGGCCAGCTTAGCCGTCTTCTTCTTCATACTGCCCCCATTGAGGAGCACATCATCAAATATCTCAACAAGGAGGACCAGATTAACGTACAGGAAGGGTTAGGAATCACGGTCGAGGTGTATGACCACGACACTCACTCTACGTACGAGCTGCTTCTAAAGAGATGGACCACGATGCATAGTTATGTTTTAAACGGTGGATGGCGTATGTATTTTGTCCGTAGGAGAGGTTTGGGAAAAGGAGACGAAGTTGGACTATTTTGGGATCGTTTTGCTTCGAGGCTCCACTTTCGTGTGCTCTCTCGTGCAGCTAGGTCACAAGAACCCTAACTAGTAACTAGCTATATAAATTGGAGCAATGAGTGGAAAGAGGTCGAGAGGGATTTTTCTTTTTTGATGCTTTCAAGTTTCGCATTTACATTCGCATGATTTTCTTAACATGTATTAATTTTGATACATTTTTCATCAAATACTATTTTAAAAGTTATAAAGACTTTCATATTTTATAGTTAATTTCTTTTTCTTTGGGGCAGAAATGGATTCTTATTAATTAATGTTACATGATTATTTTTCATAGAAATATATTGATGATATTATTGAATTATTTTGGAAGATATTTGTTACCAACAAATTTAAACCAATATGACAACATCATATAAGAAATATCTGTACTTATAATGGTATAAAAGTGTAAATAGTTTACTTATTAAATTAATTATTACTTTTTTCCAGTTCCAGTACAATTAACAAAAACAAAACTTGATACGTGCTCATTAATGTTTTATTTATTCTCATTTATTTATATAACCTTCCAAAATGCATATATATCACTATGTATTAACTTCCTATATATTAACATCCTTCTATTTCAAGAGAAAATGGGTTAAACTATTAAAACTCTCGAAATTTCTAGAAACAATTAAAAGTAGTTTTAAACTCGAGCTAGTAAACGTTAGAATAACCCCAAATATCATCAATAAACCCAACACAAAATAAAACAAACCATATATGAAATGGTTTAGGATTTTTTTCTTTCTATCGTATAATTTTTCTTTCAAAATTAATTTTTGAATGTTAAAAAAAGAAACCTTATATGAAATCATGATTCAACACGTAGCTGTTGTTACCATGAATATTTTTTGTTTCTTAATCTAATTAAATTTATTGGCTCTGATAATTGATCTTATATTTAGGAAAACATGTCCAAACTAAATATTAAATTTATATGGTTTGATTTTAAATTATTTGATTTTAGAAAAAAAAAATTATTGTATATTATACATGAAACACTTTATTATATCTAAAATTAGTATTATTATTTATATCTGAATTAAAACTAATAAATAAAGTTGAAATCAGCGAAATTACAAAAGTTTCTTAACATAAAACCAAGCAAATAATAATCGAACAAGGGGTATATAATTTTTTATCAAGAAAAATGATAATCTATATCAATAAAACTGATTTTATTCAATCATACAAATTTATTAATAAATATTTTTATCAACTCGAATAAATTAGGTTAACATTCAATAACAACTATTCTTTAAAACATAAATAAATAAAATTAAGATATGAAAGAAGTATTATATTAATTTCAAGAAAATCCAACTGAATCTGAATTTTGTTATAAGTTTCCCCCATTTTCATCTAAGACCTGGAAAACTAAGAAAATCTCAAACCAAATTATTTGAATGTGCTAACCAATAAATTTTATGGTTTACATCATATAATATTTAATAGTAATAAATTTAGTTACATTAGCAACTATTGTTATTTAAGTTTTAATATCAGAAAAACAACTTTCGAAAGCATATGTGGAAACTGGATTTTTTTTTGTTTTAGTATAATGCTAAGTTTAATTTTTATTTGGTTTATTAATGTCCGGAGTAAGTATCTTTCATGTTTCTAGATGTTTAACCGTAATCGTGGACCAAAATAAGTCATGACCTAAATCTAATCGTACCATATTTTGGATCGTAATATAAAGTGGTTAAAAATCATAACCGTCAACCGTAAAAATAAATAACTTACAATTTCAAAAATATTAACCGTAACTATTAATGAACTATAATCGTATCTAAAATGTTGGTTAACCGTACAATTAAACCTTCAAAATAAACTATTACATAAAGATGTATTAAATGGTTCAGTGTGCTCACTAGTAAATCTCTAAATCTAATTCACTCCACTACTCATTTCCGTTAATCAAATATAAAAAATGATTTAATTCAATTATTTGCAAGCTCGTGACCATTAATTTAAGAGAATTACTTGTAGGCTTGTTTCATTAAAAAGAATCATGATAATTTAGCTAATTGACTATAAATGTAAGAAAATATAAGGTTTTTCCATGATGTTAATTGTATCATAATCATCAAATAACCATAAATGTATTAAAAAAAAAAATAATGGTTAACCGGTAGTTAATAAACCGTAACTCAATAACCATAACTTTGGTCATGCCGACCCAAAAGGTGAGAAAAACAAGTAATCTATGTTAATTTATTAAAAAGCTTGAAAATGTATAATTTGGTATTTAAATAATTACACGTGTCAAAATAATATAAATTATATTGCCATAATAAAACCGCAACATTATAACTTTTAGTCAAAAAAGAATCACTTAGGAAAGATAATAGATGTATACTATTTTCTGAGTACTCAATAAGTCTATATAAACACAATTTGCAATGCCAAAATATTCATAAAAAAAAAAACTTCACAAAATCTATACCATATAAAAACGATGATCGCCTCCTTATAAACGCATCAAATCTTTGTGGTGTAGGTTCGCCTCTCATCCATTGTTTTTATTTGTTAGCTTTACGATAATATTCTGCTTTTAATTGAGAATTCCGAGTTTTATACACAATTTCATTTTCGAATAATTGATAAAACTTTGAGTTTCATATATATAGAGTTACGGATCTAGGTATACTAAAATGATATTATTTTAATATATCTAGATCTGAAATCAATAATCCATATATGGATTCACCATAAACATTAGTATGCATATTTGAAGGGAAAAAATAGTTTGAAGTTCTAATAGAATTAAATTATATAATTTTTTTGTCGTATAAACAATTTCAGTTTACTTTGTTAATCAACAATTTAAACCATAATATTAGGGTTATTCTAAAAGTATCATACACTTATCAGACCTAATCTTGGTCAAAATTTTAAATTATTTCATATTGATCTGAATTTCTTTTTCTTTTTGTTTTAATCCAGAATTGAAAATTCATTGAAATGTTATAATATACTGTTATAGAGGCGTTCATTTAAACTTGTATTTTTATATAATATATAATATACTGTGATTTGAAAAGAAAAAAGAAAAGAGTTTTTGATCTCCAACTACATCCTTTTTGGTCAGGTTATTTTCACTTGTGTTCGATCATGGATTCGAATATGTCTACCATCTCAGCGTCAAAGAGTTTGGTCGCGCTGGCTCTGTTTCCGTGTGATCCCGAGGTTGCTTATGAACCAAGAGACAATGGGCAAGCCGAAAAAGATAAGAACCTGGGGTGGATGAGGGCTATGACGGATGAACAAATAAGAGAGGAGGAGCGGTACAATGTCTCAACGAACTTAACTCTCTACACCCTTGGGTCCGATCCATGGACCATCAAGAAGAAGTTGTGCAAAACCAGTCTTGGTCATCTAAACCGTCTTAGTCTGAATGCAAACATTGTCACTACGGAGATCATTGCTTATCTCCCTCAGGATGATAAAAAGATCATCGAACAAGGCTCTGGATTAGCAGTCGAAGTGTATGATAACGACACTGCTTCTATCCACAAGCTGGTCCTTAAGACATGGCAGGGTGGTGGAAGCTATCTTCTCGCTAATGGATGGCGTAAGGAATTTGTTGTGAGAAGAGGTTTGAAGACAGGAGATGTGGTTGGAATGTTTTGGGATCGTAATCTTTCTAAGATTCGTTTCTGTGTGCTTTCTCGTGCACCCATGGAAGCTAGCTCAGCTTCCGTAGTAACGGGCTCAGCATCATGTGCTCGTTATCGTGCAGGTCCGTAAGAGCCTCACTACCTATGGAGGCAATGTCTGCAGAGAGATTCTTGTTCGTGTTTTCTTATTGTCATGGTGTTTCGTATTGTGTTTTCTCTTCTCTTGTTTTTCTCTGTTTTATGCTTTCATTTGTGTTTTTCTTTTAAGTCTGGAGTTGTGTTTTTCTTTGTGGTTTTTATATGGTTTGTGTTTAATAAAAGAATCCTCTTCTTATATATATATATGTCTAAAAGTCTAAGAATAAGCAATGAAATAAGTATTTATTTGTTACAGCGTCATACACAGAAAATCAAAATATCCCATACTAGAAAGTAAACCCTCATATAACAATGGGCAACATAGTAGAGATGAAGACAAAGATACCGCTGAGGCATTATAATATAAAATATTTTCACATTATTCACGAAACGGTCGAGTTTGCAAAGTCATTGCGACATAACCAAACTGAATGGGTCTCTTTGCTTAGCATCCCTCGTGATAGATTATTCATTCTCGAGCATCATCAATTAACAATTTGATGATACACAAAGAGGAAATAAAAAAAAATGTGATAAAATTAGGCAGAGAATCAAACATACTTTTCGTGAACAAAAACCAGTACTAAATAATTTTTAAAAAAGTTTCAACTGTTGTACTTGCTTCCTTCACTATCAAACTACGAATCATAAAAAGATAAAACATGCGACTAAACAAACGCATGAGGATCACTTAAGAGCGAAGATAAACGTCACTGGGGAATTTCAGAACAAATCCAGAGGAGCCTAGCGACTCAATTTATATAGACAGTGTCACTATGTCTTGGGGGCCTATCAGGAACCGTACCAGGTTTGAATCTGGATGCTTCATGTCTCGCCAGCTCAGGAGGCACCGCACTGTTGCTCTGAACAAGCATCTGCTTCAGATCATAGAAGACCTCGGTATCATGAAGAGTCAAGAATGAAGTCGCAACACCACTTTTCCCAGCACGTCCTGTACGTCCGATACGATGTGTATACATCTCTATAAGTTTAGGCATGTCGTAGTTTATGACGTGAGCCACATCGGGGATATCGATTCCACGTCCTACGACATCTGTAGCAACAAGAACGTTGTATCTCTTTGCTCTGAAACCTTCTAAGCTGATTTCTCTCTGCTCTTGTGATTTCCCACCATGCAAGGTCGTGACACGGTACCCAGCCTTATCCAGATTCTTAGCAATGGAGTCTGCGTTTTTCTTGGTGTTAACAAACACAATGGCAGTCTTATCACCCAGCTCGTCAAGCAGTTTCTGCAACCTGAAGAATTTTTCGGATTCTTTCATCATAATCACGTGTTGCGAAATCAGATCCGTGGTCTTTCCTGCGGTTCCAATGGTGACGACAACTGGGTTTCTCAAGTACTTCCTAGCAAGCCGTTCTACCCCAGGAGGCATTGTAGCACTGAACATATATGTGGTTCGGTAAATTTTCTTTTCATCAAGCTCTTCTTCTTCGTTCTCGGGTTTCAAATTACTAGAAGGCATTGCATCTAACACACCTGCAACCTGCGGCTCGAAACCCATGTCTATCATACGATCTGCCTCATCAAGAACCACATAGTTGCACTGGTTCAACACAGCATACCGCCTCTCAAGGCAATCAATCAAACGACCCGGAGTGGCAATCACAATCTCACACCCTTGTGTTATCTTCAACCCCTGTTCCTCAATCGACTGACCACCAACAATAGAAGTCACCCTAAACCCTAGATAATGCGCAAACTTAACAGTTTCCTCCTCAATCTGCTGAGCAAGCTCCCTAGTAGGGGCCATAACCACAGCATAAGGTCCCTCAGTCTCAGTCTCTTCAGTCATGGGTGGCAATCTAGATATGTACGCTAACATAGGTAAAACAAAAGCAGCAGTCTTACCAGAACCAGTTTCTGCAATGCCAATAACATCACGCTGTTGCAGTCCAAGTGGTATAGCTGCCATTTGAATAGGAGAGGGTTTCTTGTATCCAGCTCTCTCCACAGCTTTCAGAAGCTCAGAAGTAAGCTTACTCTCTTCCCAGCTCCTCATTGGACGAGGAATCCTCGAACCTTTGTAGGAAATGTTGAAATCTTCTCTGAAGATACGCCAATCCCTTTCAGTCATCTCCTCTAATCTCTTGTCGCTCCAATGCCTATCAACCCTCATATCAAAGGAGTCGTATGTGTCAGCAGCTTCTTCTCGCACTCTCTGAGCAGCCGCTTCCTCTGGTCTCTCTACAATACCATCTTTCTTACGAATCTCGTCACGCATCTCTTTCTCGTGCTTGGCCGCTTGTTTCTTCTGCTCACGACGGTCCATACCAGCACGAAACCCTCTTCCAAACAGAAGCTGAGCTTCATGAGGGTTTTGATAGAGAACGTTCATATCCCTAGAAGTATCCTCAGTGTTTTCCCAATCGAAAGAGAAACGAAACTTCTCGCTTGGCCTGATAACTCTCTTCTTCGGCTTCTTACCTCCAAGATACTGCTCTTTAATGGCGTCGAGTTCCTTCTCCCTCTCTCTCTCAACTAACTTCTCAACCCTCGCCTTCTCCCTAGCCTTAGCCTCTTCCTCTCTCTCCTTATCTCTATTCCTCCGATCCGGTTCACGATCTCGTTCACGACGGTCACGCTCACGGTCTCTCTCTCGCTCTCTATCTCTATCTCTATCCCTATCCCTATCACGGTCTCTCTCTCGCCCTCTATCTCTCTCCCTGTCGCGGTCACGTTCACGTTCTCGGTCCCGATCTCGGTCACGTTCCTTGTCCCGATTAGTGTTGTCACCATTAGCGTCTTCAGCCTCAGGCTCGGGGCGACCGATTTGCTCGCGGCGGAGACGCTGCTCGGAGAATTGGTCTTGGCGGCGTTTTAGGGCTAATTCTTCGCGCTGAGCTTTGGTGAGGAAGACAGGCTTCTTAGCAACGGAGGAATCGACGGAGGTAGACCCGACGACTTCATTGACTGATCGCTTCATCTGTGGTGGATGAAGATGTTCGCTTGGTCGATAGCAGGAGGGGAAAGCAAAGAAGATCTAGAACCGTCTTCTTCTCTTCTCTTCTCTTCTCTCTTCTCTCGCTCGTCTCTTTCTTTATTCACTTTTTGATTCCTTTCTTAATATTTTTTACCGTCTTTTTTATATTTCCCCAATTTTTGCAAAATTTTGGTACATATAAGCCCAATTTTAGGGTTTTAGGCCCAATAGAAAAGAACAATCTTTTGTTAGGTTACAAAAACCTTTCAAGGGTTTAGATTAATAATGTTCGACATAAAAGTTCAGAAAATGTTGAAACTGATTTATGCTCTTTCGTTCTCAAAAAACTCAACCCTGCTAAAATGCTGATGATCCTAAAACTCCTGCTAAATATGCTAATTCATCATACAAAACTATACATATCATCTCCTACTCTTAGCTTAGCGTTTACCAAAGATAATGCTTCATCCCAAGGCCATTGCAAGTCAGTATGAGCTCCTTGTACTCATTCAATAGTTCCTGCAACAGACAGTGCAAGGGATTTATCAAACTTTGAAGCTTTGAAAGTAATCGCTCTCTCGGATCAAATAACTAACTCTTGTCTACCGTGTTGTGCTGGTAGATACGACGCATCCTTTTCTTGTCGTATTCCTGCCTTGTAAATGGGTCGCTCAATACTGTCCAACATTATATCATAATCTTTATAGTTAAAGTTCATCATAGAAACCAATTACAGATATCAGAAACAGTGGCTCAATGAAAACAGATTCCTTTCCACTAGAGAGACTTGTAAACACCTTCAGTTTTACACCTTTTTCATAACAAAGTTAGAAGAAGATATAACAATGAAAACAAAACTCAACCCAAACACTCCAGTTCTAAGCTTACTACTTGAAAGCCTACCTTAACAAGAAACCAATCACTAATGAAAACGCATTCCCTCCCCTAAGCTAGTATCTTTAACTATACATTTTGCATTACATAGTTAGAGGTAACAAAGACCAATGAAACAAATACACAACAAACTCTACATTTTCTAAGCTTACTACTACTCCAAAGCCTACCTTACCAAGAAACTTTTGTCATACATACACAACTACATGTTATGAGTTGATAAGAGGCGAGAGAGAAAGAGAAGCAAAACCTTGATAAGCCTCGTTGATTTCTTGAAACCTAGACGTAGCGGAGTCCTCTTCTTTAAATTTGTCCGGATGCCATTTCTGCAACACAGCCAACACAAATGCCAACTCCATTACTGAAGAACTGAGAACCAGGTTTGTCCCCAATAGAGGAAAAATGGAAAAAAGAGAGAACGAAAGTACCAGGGCAAGACGGATAAAGCTGGAACGAATCTCATCATCAGAAGCGTCACAGTTCAATTCCAGAACTTTGTAGTGATCCTGCAACACCCAATTCACCAAAAAACAAAAAAACCAAACTTTTAACAATTTTAAACCAAACAATTCTCGAAATTTGTTGATTTCTTTTGTTTACCTTGTAGTTCTCGAAATCAAAATCGAAGAAATCAGAGCCATGGCCGTCTCCCCAATCGTAACACCACATCCTCCACTGTGAACTAACGATTTCGAGCTTCCTCAGTACACAATTTTCTCCTCTGCTCTCCTCACTTCACTTGGAACTTCAGATAAAGAATCAATTTTTTATATTATTAAGAAATTGCATTTAGACCCTAAACTATTGTTTTATTACAGTCGAAGGACATTTAGCATTTTCCAGAAACCTTTCTTCCAAATTCCAATAAATAAGAACCGATTGAGATTACACAACGATGGCTTCGTCTCTGAGCACTAGAGTCTCGGCGTTAATCATATCTCGACGGCGTTTTCCGTTCGTCGGCACGTTTTGTGTGCTTTCGACTCTGTCAATCTCTTCTCTTTCTTCGTCTTCGTTCAAATCGGGTTGTGCACAGTCCTTCTCTGTTGTTCCTCTCTTAAGGTTAAGCCTTTTCGAATCAATGTCAATTTTGTTGTGTTTCTTCTCGTCATAAATCTCATGAATTGGGAATTGCAGGTCTAAGTTTAGCAGTAAGGCTTCTTCGTCAACGATCAAAATGGAGGAGAGCAGCAAAACTGTGCCCAGCATTGTTGTCTATGTCACTGTTCCTAACAGAGAAGCAGGTTTTGGTGTTTGCTTTGACTTCTCAATATAGGATTGTGATACAAAAATGAGGGTAAATTAGGGAGCTTTAGTTTCTTCATATGGGTTTGAACATGAAAGAGTTTTCGTTTTTGGAAAATCTGTATCTATCTTAGTAATGTACAATCAGCTTAGCATTCTCTTCTGTTTCCGTATCCAAGATTTTGCAAGTTTCTATTGGGAATTTGAGACCCTTGTAGGCAAATTTGGAACCTGGACGAGTAGTCAAAAGGAAACTGCTTGTTGAATTGTATTCTTAAAGCTCAAGAAACTGATCGAGTCCCCTGTTTGGTTGAATACTTTCTAGAGTATTTACTGATCGAAACGTCACTATTATGTTCTTTGTATCCTTAGCATCTCAGTGGTAGATGCTGTTCTGCCAGTTCTTACTCTTCTATTTTTTGCTATTTGTTTCATTGGCAGGAAAGAAGTTGGCTAACAGCATAGTCCAAGAAAAGCTTGCAGCGTGTGTGAACATTGTACCAGGTACTTTCTTTTTCGGTTTCTGCCAGCAAGATTCCTTAGAAATTTATCTGCTTGCGTAATCACTTGGTGGTCAGAATGTTTTGCTATTCAAAAAAAGGAACCAAGTTAGTTCAAGAAAGACTAGAAGCAGTTTTTAGTCATTTCATGCTCTGTCCATGCTTTATAATCTGTCGATAATATAGTCCTTACTTCTTTGTTTGCATGTTCTGTGATTTTGAATACTACTAGTTCTGCCACTAGAAGATGTTTATGTTTGTTTGCTTGGATGCAGGCGTTGAATCGGTGTACGAGTGGGAGGGGAAGGTAAGTAAGAACAATATGTGCAAATATTTCTCTAGCATATTTTTATATCGAGGACTACCATGGCTAATAGTTAAACAAAGATCGCAGAACTTGAAGGAAGGCCTTGAAAAATTCATAAGATTTCATAAATATATATATGCATAAAAGACAGCGAAAAAAGTTATCGCATAGTCGATATCAATTTATACGACCTTTATTTTGCTTGTAACATTGTTCATCTTGAATCTGAGCTATTTATGCTAGCTGATCTCAAAATACATTGCACATAACCAAACCCTTTCGCTTTAGGTTCAGAGTGATTCCGAGGAGCTCTTGATAATCAAAACAAGGCAATCCCTTCTAGAGTCTCTAACCGAGCACGTCAAGGCAAATCACGAATACGAGTAAGCATTGTTCTATAACGGGTGACAAATAGCAAAAACAGGAGTGATGCGAGTGACTTTCTTTAGCAATCAGACAAGCTAAGTTAATAAACATCGTTTACTTTGTTCCTTAGTGTCCCAGAAGTAATTGCACTGCCCATCACTGGTGGGAGCGACAAGTATCTAGAATGGTTGAAAAACAGCACAAGAAAGTGAGATCTCGACGTCTCGTAGTTATCCAGCAATGGCTTTGTAGCATTGGTTTCGTTTACGTTTCAACAACTTCTGTATTTAAAATAAAACGTGTGGAGTGTAACATTAGACCATTTCGTCAAATGACATTTGCTTAAAAGTTAAAAAGATTTCAGCTCAAGTTCTGTACATCACATCTTTGATTACAACATGTTAACTGTATTGCAGAAATTGCCTTTGTTGACTTTTATTTGCAGACATCATTAATAAATCAATCAAACGGTAACATGTTTTGTGCTTTTAAGCTACATAATCAGTAACTGGAAGCTGAGACAGTTGAGACGCCTGTGTTTCCTGACCCTTAGTCTTCTCTGATTTAATCTGTCCATAGAAGTAAGAGACGGATCCCCAGAGGGAGAGAGCCAAAGCGACACCTTTCCCCGCCTGAAACTTCTCCCGGAAGCAAATGACGGCCAAGATCACCGTCACCGGAAGCAGAGCACTGATCATAATTCCAGAGACCAGAGACGATGCACAGAAGATCAATCCAATAGCTCCTACGAAAAACGCTTGCCAGATCACGGCCGTGAACACGATTACCACATAATACAAAGACTCTCCAAGCTTAAAACCTCTTGCTTCTCTTGCTATCACCTGCCAATTTAAAACATTTCCCCTTTTAGCTATCCATAATAAATCCCAGTTCTTGATTGGGAAAAGCATAAGAAATGCATTCTTTCTTTCTAAACAAATCAAATATCTTCCTTCAAGGGTTCCTTAAACAATCCAGAAGCACCCTCTTAGTTTAAAAGTGAAACCTTTACGCAAGGATCTTCATTTTAGATCAAGAATGTCAAAAATCCCAATTCTTGATTATCAAACTTCACTCTGTTCATCTCAAACTAGATGATATGGAAAAAAAAAAAACATACTTTACCTTGAAATCACCAGCAGCTAGCATCCCCACGAGGCAGAAGCAAGTGGCAACAAAGCACAAGACCATCTGGAACTCAAGCACGAGCGTATACGTGATTCGTTGACGAGATTTCTTGTAAGTAAGCTCGACAAGCGGCAATATAAAAGCGTAGAGAAGAGCTGCACCAACGACCATGAGGAACCCAACAACGTACTCCTTGTGTGTCTCGTTTGCAAGCTTGTCACTTTCAGAGTTAAGGGCAAGGACCACGGCACCAACAGTGAGCAAAACGATGGCGTTAATAGTGAAAGGTGTGAACTTTTGCTTCACCATGAAAAAGGCAAAGAGAGCAGTGAAGCCTAGCTGAGCGGAGATGATCAGAGACGCAGTGGAAACAGGGAGATAAGCTAATCCGTAAGAGTAGAGGTAATTGTCAAAGCCCATGAGCAGACCAACGACGACAGAGGCGATGAAAAGACGAGGTTTCATGAGGAAAAACGAAGTCTTTTCTTGTTCTTCAAGGCGACGACGGCGGAGGAAGGAGAAGAGAAGAGGGAAGAGGATGAGAGGAAAACCTACAGTTTGTAGAAAGCTAGAGAACCAGATCCTTTCGCCACCGTTGTGGAAGTAGAGACGGATCATTAGAGGACCTCCACAGTTTCCAATCGCTAGGAATACACAGTTTACTATTACAAGAACTGTCTTCATCTTCACCATTTTCTTCCCTTCTTCCTCAGCCAAGTAATGTGTTTGTTTAGTGTTTGTTTGTCTTGTGTCGCATCAAAGAAGAGTTGTGGACTTCAGGTGGAAACATATTGGTAAGCTTTTTTATACACACTAGTTGGCAATTATGTAATTTATATTAGTTTTAAATTTTTTTAACCACAACCATGATCCAGTCAATCTCATGCCTCGACCGGTTCTCTTGACTTTATATCCGCCGCTTTGAAAACAAAAAGATCCGTAGCTTTCAGATCGGATAAGAAATTCTAATACATGATGCGAGTATGATGAGTCAGGTAAGGTAGGTATAAGTATCAGTTGTTTTCTAACTATCCCATATCGAGTGTAACTATTTGAAACTTTGATTCGAGTAATCCGATCGGCTAACAAAAACATGCATGCATTACAACTCTTTTTAGTTATTAAAACTCCTAAATTGTAGCAAAATAGTTAATTCTACCAACTATAGAAGATTTATATGTTATGATTTGCTCAGTTGTATGTCTATATAAAGATACACTTTCTTTTTTTTCTCTTTTTTTTTTTTTTTTTAAAGATACACTTTCTTAATAATTGTAGAATTTCTGGTCGACAATTCACCACGAATGTAATAATAATTACATAACTTTTTAAAAATAAAAAGAACGGCTGTCGTTTGTAATTGTTTAAAGTAGTGATAAGCAGTCGCTGTTTCTTTCTGTATAATTTACAAAACACAATTAACCCATTTTTTTCTCCTTTTTTCGACGCACAGCTGAATTAACACATTAGAAGTGTACAAACAAATTTTTCTAAAATTGGGAAACGAAAGACTGATTGACTTTTTCGTTTATATGCTTTTTATGGATTTCTTTACTGAAAAGTCAATGGTAATGTCAACGGTACTATGGAGATAACTGATCCACAGAAAATGAAGAAAAGATCAAGAGAAACTCATAACTCCGAGCAAAGACCGATTATATTGTACTGTTATTGTCAAAAAAATTATTTAGTTTTAGAGTTATGTGACACTTTTCTATTATTTGTTTAATTATTTATCTAATTAAATAACATATTTTTAATAAATAAAATCGTTGAACTTTGAAACAACATTTTTAAATTTAAAAAGTCCAAATCAACGATATTTGCTAAAAGATCACATTATCAAGAGAACGACGACATATCCTTGTATATGAAAAGTTGTTTTAGCTTATAAACAACTTAGATAATCTTTCACTAATTAAGATAAATTTTGATTTTACCCTCATTTAGTTGAATAATTTTTTTTCCTTTTTTTGTTGACAAAAAAATTTTCTTAATGTCAAAAACCATTTTCTTGGGGATTCAGTCGTCACCTATAATCAAACTGGTCATCAAGTTGCAAAAGACAAATGAGGAAGCATCGTTAAGTCTTTGGCAGCTGTCTTATCTCTCACAAACATGTTGTTAATATAATATTTGGAAGATTTGTCTCATAGTTCTTACTTTTGATTAGGAGACATGTTTCATATACTGTTTCGCACGACGATAGATTCATTAGCTGGAGAACCAGTCCAATGAGAGATTGGTCTCTTATGTTTTGGGTGTTTCAGACATACATACACCTGTTTTTTCTGTTAGTGGTCGTGTTAGTGTCTCTAGCCACTAGTAATTGTATCATAAGATTATCTCATAAACCCACAAAAAAGTTTTACGTACTAGCCTTTACAAATTAAACCGGACAAGATCATCTCTAATTTTGCAAACCGGTCATCCCCCAGACTAATCCGTTACTGAACCAGACCGGACCAATCTAAACGCTTTTGATTTGGATTTTTAAAAATACTCAAATAAAATAATGTGATGTCCATGAATTTTGCAAGTTTCAATGGCAGCGAACTCTGCTGCATACGAAGCCGTAGTTCGAGCAGGTCCACGTGTAAAGCAACTTCAACAGGTTCATGCTCATCTCATTGTCACGGGTTATGGTCGTAGCCGTAGTCTCTTGACAAAGCTCATCACTTTAGCTTGTTCCGCTCGAGCCATTGCCTATACTCACCTTCTTTTCCTCTCTGTTCCTCTTCCCGATGACTTCCTCTTTAATTCAGTCATCAAATCCACTTCTAAGCTGCGTCTACCTTTGCATTGCGTTGCTTACTACCGTCGTATGCTATCTTCTAACGTCTCTCCGACTAATTACACTTTCACCTCCGTTGTCAAGTCCTGCGCTGATCTCTCTGCCTTGAGGATTGGAGAAGGGGTTCATTGTCATGCTGTGGTTACTGGGTTTGGGTTGGATACTTACGTTCAGGCTGCTTTTGTTACGTTTTATTCAAAGTGTGGTGATTTGAGAGCTGCACGCCAAGTGTTCGATATAATGCCTGAGAAGTCTATTGTGGCCTGGAATTCGTTGATTTCTGGGTTGGAGCAAAATGGGATGGCTGAAGATGCGATTCGGGTGTTCTATCAGATGCAAGAATCAGGGCTCGAGCCGGATTCAGCGACATTTGTGAGCCTTCTCTCCGCCTGTGCACAAACTGGTGCTATTAGTTTAGGCTCTTGGGTGCATCAGTACATAGTCCGTGAGGGTCTTGATCTGAATGTTAAACTTGGTACCGCTTTGGTTAACTTGTATTCTAGGTGCGGTGATGTTGGAAAATCCCGGGAAGTATTTGACAAGATGAAGGAAACTAATGTGGCTGCTTGGACGGCAATGATCTCTGCTTATGGTACTCATGGATATGGCAAACAAGCAGTAGAACTGTTTAACAAGATGGAGGATGATTGTGGTCTAGCCCCTAATAACGTAACATTTGTAGCTGTTTTATCGGCCTGCGCCCATGCTGGACTTGTTGAGGAAGGACGTTCAGTCTACAAGAGAATGACCGAGGGCTATAGATTGATCCCAGGAGTGGAACATTATGTTTGTATAGTAGATATGCTTGGGCGGGCTGGATTTCTGGACGAAGCTTATAGATTCATACATCAACTCGACGCTACAGGGAAAGCAATTGCTCCAGCATTGTGGACAGCCATGCTTGGAGCTTGCAAGATGCACAGGAACTATGATCTTGGTGTAGAAATCGCCAAGCGTCTCATAGCTCTTGAGCCAGAAAACCCTGGTCATCATGTCATGCTCTCAAATATATATGCCTTGAGTGGCAAAACAGATGAAGTATCACACATAAGAGATGGAATGATGAGGAATAACCTTCGAAAACAGGTCGGCTATAGCGTAATTGAAGTCGAAAACAAGACATATTTGTTCAGTATGGGTGATGATTCTCATAAAGAGGCTAAAGAAATTTATCGGTATCTGGAGACTTTGATGAGCCGGTGCAAGGAAATTGGGTATGCACCAGTTTCTGAAGAAGTGATGCACCAAGTAGAGGAAGAGGAAAAGGAGTTAGCACTTAGATACCACAGCGAGAAGCTGGCTGTAGCCTTTGGGTTGTTCAAAACTGTAGATGTAGCCATTACAGTTGTTAAGAATCTGCGCATCTGTGAGGATTGTCATTCTGCTTTCAAGTACATTTCTATTGTATCCAATAGGCAGATCATAGTACGAGATAAGCTTCGGTTCCACCATTTTCAAAATGGTTCTTGTTCATGTCTGGACTATTGGTAAGGAAAACATACATACAAACACAAGTGTTTCATTTTTATTACAAATTATGGTACATAGTTCTTGCAAAACCAGAACCCTTTGATATCATACAAAATGAGATATTATACAAGATGAGCCTATTTTACAGCAGTTTTATTCTCACGTGTTGAAGTGCAAAACATATTCCACATGGGGAAGGAATTACCCACCTCGCAAACTGATATTATACAGCAATCATTGGATGTTAGGAAGATGTTATGACATCAGAACATAACTGACCTTTCTGATTCCATTTCAATCCGCTTGGCCGCAATCAACTCCAATCTCTGCGAATGCTTCTGCAAGTTTTGGGTAGATTTTGGAGAGCATGATCTTGAAACCGGTGGAATTTTTGGTTGAGCTTTCGTGCAGGTTCACTGATGATCCTACAGGGACACCTTCCATATAAGACTTGCACGCAGCCAGAACATGCCGGGCCTGTTTTGTGAAGTGGTCCTTCACAAGCACCTCAAAATGCTACAATGCAACATCATACAGTTGATTAAAATGGTTTTTTTCTAGAAATTTTCATTTTTTGTTGAATTGTTGCAACAGAAGCATACCTTTGGGGGCTTGCGGAGCAATGAGATCATGGATTTGCAGGTGATAAGGAATGCATTCTCATTGTAACTCACTGAGTTTTTCTCTCCTTCAGCTCGTCCCAACTGCTTATCATAGCCAGCTTCGTTAAAGTAAGGCTTATCATTCAGAACAAGAGCCTGAAATGAAAGAAGAACTTGAAGGATAGAGGAGCTCCCCGGGTTCCACACTTCAGTGCCAGAGCCATTCCATGTATTCAGCAGACTCAGGCAGACTTTTCCTGACTCGTACAGGTTAGGATTTAGTCGCATGCCACCTGAATGATAATGTACCATCTGTACTCATAGAGGAAGACAACAAATAACAATGTCATTTCTTTTAGTTCCAACACTTTTATACAACTAGAGTTGCATTTTTTAGACCACATGATACTGCTATGCATTGGACTTGGCAAAAAACAGAAGTCTGCCTGGTCCCCAAGATACACTAAAAGCGAGAGTGGGCAATAGAGAAGTTTAAGCAGTGAGAAAACTCACTGGTGGCTCATGAGGATATTGAGGAGGAAGCATAATGTCGAAAAAGAATAGTCCATCGTGGTATGGTGTTCCAGGGGCACCAACTAGGGCTGCACGCAGAAGGTCCATCCTTTCCTCATACACACGCACGTATATTGTGTCTGTTCATCACAAAAAATTGAAATTCAGTGATTTTTAACAAAACACAACATCATAACGTGCAATTAGTGTAAACCATCATTTGACCAAAAGAAAAAAATACGACATGGCTAGGGCCTAGGGAATCAACAGAGAAAAAATAATTAAAAAAGAACTAACTGGGAAGATCTGCCTCCAAATTGCTCCATTCTTGTTGAACTTTCTTCACCCAACTCTTTGTGACCTACAAGAGATGGAAATGTAATGAGTGTTATTTAGCTGATGTCAGAATATAGTATTGGGT